GTTACATGTTGTACGTGCATAAATGTCATGAGATGTAGGAGTAATATTCTAAATGTAAAGAGATCCAAATGATTAAGTGACAAACATGAGAGGATCTAGGTATAATTTATCAATTTAGTTTTAGGTGCATAATGATACAAATTTCTATATTTGAGAGTGCAAATTGAGATTTTTTATCTTTGAGGTGCACATTGATATAAATTTCTATCTTTGAGGGTGTAAATTGAGATTTTTTATCTTTGAGGGTGCACATTGATATAAATTTCTATATTTGAGGGTACAAATTGAAATTTTTTATCTTTGGGGGTGTACATTGATATAAATTTCTATCTTTGAGAGTACAAATTAAAATTTTTGCTCGTTGAGGGTATAAATTGAGATTTGAACTATTTTTCGGGGTATAAAATGAGATTAACCCTAAAAGAAATAAAAATGGTAAATTCCGATACTCGCACGGATTGCCGCTAGGTAGGTACCAAATCAAGCGTGCTTTAGCGATTAGATGCGTTGTTATGATTTTGAGAAATTATAGGGTCAATTTGACATTATCTATTTTTAGGGGAGCAAAGATAACATGCGGCCCAATTTAAAAAATGTAGATATATATTTTTGTCCAGAAACTCTATGTGGGAGTTAGTTTGCAGGTAGAGGGGCGTTTGCTTTACCCTAGCTCGAGGAGCCGAGCGGCGCGAGGAAGAGAGAGAGGGATAGTAGAGAGAGAGAAAGAGAACGAGAGGGATCTGCGAGTTAGGGTTTTTGATAATCCGAATCGGTAAACGGTCAGTGAGCGTGGTAATCTCTAAATCATTTTCATTTATCTATTAATCGTACCAGGTTTTTTTTTTCTCGTTCGAAAAATCGGAGGAAATCATCAGCTTTTTTCGGTATTTGATGACGATGATGTTTGTGTGTGAGAAAGAGGCGTGTTCGTTGTGTGCAGGAAGGAGAGAGATTTATAGAAAGAGAGAGCGAGAGAGAGAGGTGAGATCGCGAGAGGTGGAAAAGAGGGAATTGGGTGTGTCTTTATCGATTTTCTCAATCTACTATTCTATTTCGTGAATCTTCCGTACACTGCAATATGTCGGAGAGAAAACTGGTGGTATGTCTCTACTTCTAAACTTAACGGCCTTTATCCGCTCTCTGTAATTTGTTGGATTTGAAACTACTTGCCTATGTTTGCTTATGTAATTGTATGTGTTTTAGGTTTTAGGTATCCCATGGGACGTGGATACGGATGGTTTGAAGGATTACATGAGCAAATTTGGGGAATTGGAGGACTGCATTGTAATGAAGGTAAGTTTATTATGTTGATTGTCAGTAAGATAAAGAGAGCTTACATTTGGATACAAATCAAGTGATTTTTGGGAGCTCCATGATGCTTAATTGACTCTTCACCTTGTGAGATTTAAAAAATAAAAGAAAAATAGAATTGGGGATAAAGAAACCCGCTTCTAGGGATATGAGAACCTCCGAACCATTGTGGAACTGGACCTCCAAAACTTTCACAAGAAAATTCAGCACAAAATTCGATTAATAACTAACCTAAGCAGTGACTCCACTATCTAATTAACCACCTAGAAAACTACCCCCTAATACCAAATCACTAACCCACTATTACATAACCTCCAATTAATTAACTCTAATATTACATAAAACACATATATAAGAATATGACCATAACAATTAACACACCTATGTTTTGTGGGCAACCAGATTAGTACTGAAGTTTCTTCTTTTCTTGCATTCCTGAATCGGAAGACGGAATAAGGCCCCTTTTTTTTCTAGTTTGCATACTATCTTGGTAATGTTGGAATCCATCTTGTGGGTATTGTGACTTGCCACACGTTCACCCTCACATTTTAAGATTACTTTTTCACTGTGNTGCCGACATCTCTTTCATTTCTCTGTGATGCCAACAAACTTTGTGAAAATTCAGCTTGAATTTATCATTTAATTTTTGTATTCGATTGATAGGAGGAGATGAGAGCACCATCAAAGAAAGTCACTAGAATATTTGTGGCTAGGATTTCACCAGCTGTTACTGAAGCTACATTCAGAAGGTCATTATGCATTCTGTTTGGCTACTTATCAGAAAGATATAAACACACAAATAAGTAATTAAAAAGAAAGTGAAAAAGTTGTCTTGATGGTTAAGTTAATATTGAAGCTTTGAATTGTTCAACGTTTGTAGTTTGTAAACAGTGTTTTTGGAAGGTAATGAGGTCTGATCCCATTGTTTTGACATGTATTCTTGCAGCCATTTTGAGAAATACGGGGAGATAACAGATTTGTACATGCCAAAGGTTAGTTGTTCCATCTTTGTCTCTGTCTCTCTCTCTCTCTCTCTCCCCANTGCCGACATCTCTTTCATTTCTCTGTGATGCCAACAAACTTTGTGAAAATTCAGCTTGAATTTATCATTTAATTTTTGTATTCGATTGATAGGAGGAGATGAGAGCACCATCAAAGAAAGTCACTAGAATATTTGTGGCTAGGATTTCACCAGCTGTTACTGAAGCTACATTCAGAAGGTCATTATGCATTCTGTTTGGCTACTTATCAGAAAGATATAAACACACAAATAAGTAATTAAAAAGAAAGTGAAAAAGTTGTCTTGATGGTTAAGTTAATATTGAAGCTTTGAATTGTTCAACGTTTGTAGTTTGTAAACAGTGTTTTTGGAAGGTAATGAGGGCTGACCCCATTGTTTTGACATGTATTCTTGCAGCCATTTTGAGAAATACGGGGAGATAACGGATTTGTACATGCCAAAGGTTAGTTGTTCCATCTTTGTCTCTGTCTCTCTCTCTCTCTCTCTCCCCATATGTGGATATATACATATATATAGATAGCTAGATAGATATGTCTATATGCTTAATTTTTTTTCATGTCTATATTTCCCTGGGATTCTATATTTAATTACAGCTGTTTCTGTCCATTTGCAGGATCCAAGTACTAAGGGGCATCGTGGAATTGGGTTTATTACTTTTGAAAATGCTGGTAATTCCATTTTAAGTTTCCGTAGGCTTCGTATTAAGGATCAGAATTTCGAAACGAAACATCCGAAACGTTTCATTTCCAAGGAGTCCGAAATTTTTTCGTTTTCAAGGAGATCGAAATGAATTAGTGACAAAATCAAAATTCTAATGATTGGAGTGTTTTATAATGTTTCGAGTTTTTTTTTTAATATTTTAATGCATTTGCATAATTGTTTTGGAATGATTTATAATATTTCAAGATACTTTGGTATATTTTGACAAATGATTTATAATATTTATAATTTTTTTCATTCTATTTCCGAAACTGGTTGAAATGTTTCTGAAACACGTCAAAACGTTTTCGTTCCCTAGATGGCCANATGCATTTGCATAATTGTTTTGGAATGATTTATAATATTTCAAGATACTTTGGTATATTTTGACAAATGATTTATAATATTTATAATTTTTTTCATTCTATTTCCGAAACTAGTTGAAATGTTTCTGAAACACGTCAAAACGTTTTCGTTCCCTAGATGGCCGAAACAATGCACCGAAACTAAATTTTGATCCTTGCTTCTTATATTTAATATTGACCTATTACAGTCAACTTAAATTACATCTCCCTACTGCCCAAAAAGAAACTTAATGAATTCTCATTCTACACTATAAGTGTAGCATGATTGCATGAAACTTTAACAGTATAATTTTGTTGTAAATTATTTGTTTGAAGGAAAATTTAGCATGATTGCATGAAGTTTTAGCAGTATAATTTTGTTGTAAACTATTTGTTTGAATGAAAACTTAAGGTTGTTATAGGTGATTAATTTGACTAGTTGTAATTGGTTTAGGGGAGGATGGGTATATTTTTCTCCTTTGTTGATGGTCATTTGAATAACCAGCATTCTTGTGCACATTATGTAATGGCTACTGTTTTTTGTTACTGTCAGAAAAGAAAATCTGCCGAGGCCTCAATCTTTGTTGTGCACATTCTGTTAGAAATAGCTTGAATTATTGAAACTGGAACAAGTAGTTATTTGTTTGAAAATGATTGTTTAATTGTTTTCGTGCAGAATCTGTGGATGATCTGATGAGTGAAACTCATGAGTTGGGAGGTTCCACTATTGTTGTTGACCGAGCAACACCCAAGGCTAGTGCACAGCTCTCCCTTTATTTTTCCATTAATGATAATTTTTTTTTGGTTTTCAGTGAAAACTTGTTTGATTTAGGTGTTGAATTTGGCTCATGCTAAAACCCAGAATTTAAGTATTTTACATGTTTCAGATTTTTGGTATTTGTGTGATATATCTTAGCCATATAGTTGCATTGAGATTCTATTGCTTTTGGAGTAATCAGCTGTTGATCAAAGTATTTAACTGCATCATACCATACCTTTCAGGAGGAGGACTTCAGACCAATAAGCCGAGTGCCACAGGGTGGATATGGTGCATACAACGCTTATATTTCTGCTGCAACTAGATATGCAGCACTAGGTGCTCCGNTGTGTGATATATCTTAGCCATATAGTTGCATTGAGATTCTATTGTTTTTGGAGTAATCAGCTGTTGATCAAAGTATTTAACTGCATCATACCATACCTTTCAGGAGGAGGACTTCAGACCAATAAGCCGAGTGCCACAGGGTGGATATGGTGCATACAATGCTTATATTTCTGCTGCAACTAGATATGCAGCACTAGGTGCTCCGACCTTGTATGATCACCCGGGCTCTCTTTATGGAAGTGAGTTCATACTGGAGTACGAACTAACACAATTTTTTGTAATATTATCCTTGCGTGCATTCTTATTGGTTATTCTGGTGAATCAGGAGGCCAATCCAGCCGTGGAATGGGAAAAAAGATCTTTGTTGGCAGACTTCCTCAGGAAGCAAGCGCCGATGATCTTCGCCAGTATTTTGGTCGATTTGGTCATATTTTAGACGTTTATGTTCCGAAGGTACAGTTGCAAATGCTTTAATACTAAAAGTAAATGGAATTTTTTTACTCCATGGATCATTGTGCAAATGCTTGTTTGATGTAGGATCCCAAGAGAACTGGCCACAGGGGTTTTGGTTTTGTGACCTTTGCAGAAGATGGTGTTGCAGATCGTGTGTCACGAAGGTCCCATGAGATATGTGGACAGCAGGTATCGAATGAGACTTTTGTTTGTAAGATGATAGAAATAGTAGTTGAGGGATTCGTTGAAAAAGTTTGCCTTTGCTTTTTTTTTCATCAAAGCAATAACTGTCTCTAAAAATATTTCTGGAATTGTTATTGCCAAAGCAAGTGATGCAATGAACTTGTATGTTTCCACAGTTGCACTGTTTTCGCAAAAGCCAAAATTTGCCTTGGGAATCTGTGCTGCCTTATCTTGAAGAGTACTGTAATGTGTGATGCATATGTAGGATTTAGTTGAATTTCATTACTTGTATGGATAATGATGTATTCAGATACTGTCTGTCAAATTTGGTTATAGTCCAATGAAGTTTTTCCCCCTACCTCTCTCCCCTTTTTTTGGGTTGTTGGAGAAGGGGTGGGGGGGGGGGGGG